GTAGGTGTGTTGCGCGAAATGCAGAAAATTTTGCGGAAGGGCACCGCGGAGCTCCCTTACTCACGTCTGCTTCCCTTGGCCCCTCCCCCGGAACTGAATTACTGTGTCGCGAAATGATGCATGTCTAAAAAGTGTGTCACCAACATGAAAAGTTTGGAAAGCTCTGCTTTAAAGAGTCTCTCAGTGTTCAAATTTTAAGTTCCTTATTCTGTTTTTCTCTCTGGTCTCTCATCTCCACCCTTATTACTGCTTTTACACAGCTAAAAGCTATTTTTCAGTGTTTTTGATACCTTTCAGTCTACTGTCTTGATCAAGGGATTGGAGAACATTCTGCCAAATGACAGTTGACCCACTTTTAAATAAGAGGTGCTCAACCCTTCAAACCTCCATTGCATCCCCTCTACTTCTCTCATCTAAGCTTGGAAAGTTAAAATTAGCCTTTATTCAGAGTTTCTCTCCCTCCTCCTCTTTCTGTGTTGTTGTCTCTTACTATATTTACTTTAAGTAACTTTTTAAATGTAAACATTCATATTAAATTGGCGTCCTCATTGAAATAGGTGGGTATTTCAAAAACTGCAGTAACAACAATTTTGAAATAAAACCATTGTGTGTGTGTAATGATCACTTACTGGACACAACTTCTCTACATAGTTGCCCTATTTTGCAACACTGGTTTTCCAGTGAGAAACAAATTTCTTGATATGGTGTCTCAAAGAAGTTTTTTGGTTGCTGTGACAGCCACTCCAGCACTGTGGATTGCACCTCTGCATCACAGCACAGTATTGGGACTATAGTGATGTGGTAAAATTTCAAAGACCTGTCATGTCACAGGGGATGGTCAAGAGGTGTATCAACACCCCTTATTGACTGTCTGGCATCTGTGGACCTGGTTCCTGGGAGCCCCCTCCCTTACTCGCCTGTCATGATTTTGGTCTTTTGGGAATCTGTGTCAGAAAATGGCTCACGTCATCTGAAGTACCAGATTGCGGCCTGGCTGCCCCACAATTCTCACACCACCTGGTGCCTGGTGGATTTTATCAGTGGTCTGTGACCTCCGCTTTAACCACGCTTATGCTTCGCAGATGTTGCCACTTTGTCATGTCAGTGGGACCCGCAGGCCTAGTCTTATCTCAGACTACTTTCAGCCCCAGTGTTTCTTGTTGCGACTTTTCAGCTTCTGCCCCACTGCTCTGGCCTACACCCACTGCCCTGGTATGGTTTCTGGGCTCCAGCCCTGTTGTTAGTTGGAGTCTCTGGATCTCTGGCCCTGCTCTCACTCTTGGGGATGCTGGGTCTCTGACCCTGGTCCCTGTCTCTCAGGGCTAACTTGCAAACTATGCCTGCTCCCCACAAATTCAAACTGCATGCGCCACTCTGGCACCTCCAAATACCCCTTTCTAGTCCCAACTTGGTCCACCAGAAATAGCCATAACTAAAACATAAGCACCTGGATAAACTTAAAACTGTGAGCCTACTAGCTGAAAAAGTAAGTTCTCAACCCCCTTTAGTTGAAGGCTTCATTGCAAGCAGTTGACAATTTTCTCCCTCCACTTGGGTGGGAAGCTTTTTTTTCCTTTTGTCTTGCAGTCCTCAGGGTGAAACATTCCTGAGCAGTCACTCCACCAGCATCTGTTTTGGGCAGAGCTCCTGCCCCTCTGCTAGCTGGGCCAGCCTGCTTTTGCTCATGTCCTGGGTTTTTTGTTTTGTTTGGGTTTTTTTTTTTTTTTTTTTTTTTTTTTTTTTTAGACTCCCTAAGCCCAACCCCTCTTCAGGTCACCTCTTGCTGCCCGTTGTCCCCTGCCCCCCTTTCCAAACACTACTTATGCTTTGGCACCCAATGGGTACACATTTTCTGGTACTTCAGGTTATTTTGCAAAACAGTGTAGATACTGCCAGTGCTTATTCCTACTTCCTCCACTAGTTCAGGAATGTGCAGTCACCTGTTTGCATGCACAGCAGCACTGACCTTGACAATGTTGTCCTCCATCATAGTTGCACTGGGGCATCCTACCTGGAGTTCATCCACTGCAGATGTGCAACTGTCTTGGAACATCTCCACCCACTTAAACCTTCCATTGAGCCATAGTTCTTACCGTATTGTGCCACAATTCTACATTTAATTTCACCAGGTGGCACACCTTCCACCTACAAAAAACTATTGACAGAAAACAATTCTTCTTTGGTGTGCACTGGCAGCTTCACGGCCATGGGTTTTTTTTGTGTTCACTCGTCAAAAGTGCTCAGTACAAAACAATAGGTTTCATAGATTTCATAGACATTAGGGCTGGAAGGGAACCTCGGAAAATCATCGAGTCCAGCCCCCTGCCGGAGGGGCAGGAAGTCAGCTGGGGTCATAGGATCCCAGCAACATAAGCATCCAAATTTCTCTTGAAGGTGTTCAATGTAGGTGCTTGAACCACTTCCGATGGCAGGCTGTTCTAGACCTTGGGGGCTCGGGCAGTAAAGAAATTCTTCCTTATGTCCAGCCTGAAATGGTCTTGCAGGAGTTTATAACAGTTTGACCTCGTCATCCCTTGGGGTGCTTTGGTGAACAAACGTTCCCCCGGATACTGGTGGTCACCCCTGATTAATCTTATAGGTGGCCATCAGATTGCCCGAGCCTGCGCTTTTCCAGGCTAAAGAGCCCCATAGCTCTCAGCCTGTCATCATAAGGTCTGTTTTCCTGACCTCTGATCATGCGCGTGGCTCTTCTCTGGACTCTCTCAAGCTTCTCCACGTCCTTTTTGAATTGTGGGGCCCAAAACTGGACGCAGTACTTCAGCTGTGGCCTCACCATGGCCGAGTACAAGGGGAGAATGATGTCCTGGGATTTGCTTGAGAAGAATCTATGAATGCAAGGCAGCGTTTTGCTTGCTTTATTAGCTGCAGCATCACATTGAAGGCTCATGTTCACCTTGTGGTCAGTCATGACCCCCAAGTCTATTCTGTAGTGCCTAGGCAGTGTAGTACTGCCAAGCCTATAAGGATGCTGCAGGTTTTTTCTCCCAAGGTGGAGAACCTTGCATTTTTCAGTGTTAAAAACCATCAGGTTCTCATCCACCCATTTGCTGAGCCTGTCCAGGTCAGCCTGGATGGATCGCCCTGCTGTCTTCAGGTGTGGATGCTTTGCCCCAAAGTTTGGTGTCATTGGCAAACTTAGCCAGTCTGCTTCTGACTCCAGTGTCCACATTGTTAATGAAGACGTTGAACAATATGGGTCCAAGGACAGAGCCTTAGGGGACCCCACTGGTCACAGAGACCATGATGATTAATTTCCATCAATTACCACCCTCTGGGTCTGACCACGGAGCCAATTTCCTAGCCAGCGGATCATGGTGGACCCAATGCCACAGTTGGCTAGTTTCTCCAACAGGTGATCATGGGATACCAGATCGAAGGCTTTTTAGAAGTCAAGAGATATGACATCAGTCGCTTCTCCCTTGTCCAGGTGATAGGTCACCTGGTCATAAAAGGAAATAAGATTGGTCAAAGTCGGCTTTCCTGAAGTCTTAAGCTGGCAAGTCAGCAACACTTTATGGCGGATGGTGAAGGTGATCAGCTCATGGTCGCTGTCACCCAGCTTCCCATCGATCACTAGGTCGCCAATTGGGTCATCCCCAGTAGCCAGTACCAGGTTGAGCAGCGCTTTACCTCTCGTTGGCTTGTAGACTTCTTGAGTCAGGTTATCCACGCATGATAGGAAGCTTTGTGACCGATCGGATTTTGCTGAGTGATCCTCCCACGAGATGTCTGGGTAGTTGAAGTCACCTATGACAACCATGGTCCTAGAGCATGCAGCGTCAGCCAGTTCCTGGGCAAACTCCTGGTTTAAGCTTTTGGGTGGGAGGTCTGTAATAGACTCCCACTGTTGTGCCCTGTGCTGTGTTCCCCAGGTTTTAACCCAGAGGGTGTCCAGTCATTCACCCTGGTCGCCAATATCAGCTTGCAGGAACTTGTAGCTTTCGTTAACATAGAGAGCTACACCCCTGCCCCTTTTATCTACTCACTCTCTCGTGTACAGGTTATAGTAGTCTATACCTGTGGTCCAGTCATGGGTGGAGTCCCACCAGATCTCTGTTATCCCTATGATATTTGTGTTAAGCAGGAGGATGAGTTCCTCCTGCTTATTCCCCGAGCTCCTGGCATGTGTGTACAGGCAGGCAAGTGTCTCCTTGGGGGCTCTTGCCTTGCCCACAGATTGTACCAGAGCTGGGGCAGGGGTGGGCTCCCTTAAGTGCTTTGGCCTGCTGGCTTTGCAAGGGTCGCTCAGCAGGCCAGCAGTGACGGTAGTCCCCCTGTCCCCACAAAAGGTGCATTTAACAATGCTGCTATCAGTGTTCCCTGCTTTGATGCAGACATATGGCATAGGTAGCCATTTTGCTCTGAATTACTGAAACACCCTCTTGCATGGACTAGGAAGCACAAGTACCTCAAATGCCACAAGCAAGAAACATATAACAACTAAAATGGACTTGTAATCAGCCTTAATAACAATTCTGCAATGGGAAATTATGGACATTATATTGACAGAAGGAACACACTGTGTTGTGAACTAAGAAAATTGATGGGTCGCATCTTAAGCCCCTCTAATTTTAGAATGGAATATTTACCTTAGCAGCATACATGGTAATTGGAGATTTGCATATCACTAGCACAAGATGAAATTAATTAAATCTGAAATTTTTTGCTAAGGACATACATGAAGCTCCCACAAACACTTTTATTGGATTCTTATGCTAGTAGCTGTATGATGGCTGTATTTAGCTTTGCTCTATTCATATGGGTTGTTCTTGTCAGTCTTAAGCTGCCATGTCCTCGAGTATCTATTACAGCTTATAATCAAACATTTATTCAGAGATCAGGCCAAATGGACTATTGTGATAATCTAGCCTGATGCATGTATAACAAAGGTCATAGGATTTCTGTGGATTAATGAGAATGAGAGGACAACTTTTAGAAAAATATCAACTCTGTCAATATTTCAATCAATTGCTAGAGAAACTGCCACAGCCCTTGTTCCAGTGGTTGATTACCATGGCTAATTATTAACACAGTTTCACCTCTCTTCTAGTTTGAATTTGTCTAGCTTCCAGCCATTGAATCTTTTTGTAATTTTGTCTGATGGAGTGGCAAGCCCTTAATCTGTAAGAAAACTTTGGTATTGATGAAATCACCCCTTAATCTTCTGTTAGTTAAAAATCTGAGCTCCTTGAATCTTTCACTGTCGCACAGAATTTCCAGTCTTTTAATCGACCTTCATGGCTCTTAATTTTATTGATATCTTTTTATCTTCATTATGCTGTGCCTTGGTCTCCATGATCAGCAACCTGAGGAAGAATGTCTTGCATTGGAAAGCTTGTCCAACTTTATCTCAACTACATAGTTGGTCCAGTTAAAGATATCATTCTAAGAAATGTGTGCTTCTTGCATAACTTCTGGATCATCACAGCTACAATATCACTCTTAAACTACTTTATACTTTTGGACAATAGCCCTGGGCACAGTAGGTCCAGTTGTGACTACAGCACTGTGAAATACAGAGGTAATAACTTCCATATTCATATATATCCCTGGATTACTTTAGGTTTCCCCATATAATAGCAGATCTATATACATCAGTTTGCCTACTTTTTTTTTTTTCTTTCCTTCAGCTGTTTCCTCTTTCTGAGGATATCTATGTGTAGAAAGAATGTATCTGCTCCTACTTAGGTCCTATCTTGAACTGTGCCTCCCTTAGCTGCTGGTTGGAGGCTATGCTGATTTAACACTGTCAGAGCTTTGGACTTGGAGAAATAAATCTTGCAAAATAAGACCTCTTCCAGGCACTACGTGTCCCTAGATACAAGTTTACATACTGTACAAGTCATTAAACAGCCTTCCAGCACATCAAATCCACTTTGGCCCCATCATAACATTCCTGCATTATCACCTGTCTTTCTTTACTGTTCTTCTCTGGTAAAACAGACCATCTTGTCTGCTGCTATTACCCATTTTCACTGTTCTTCCATCTCCATTGTGGATTGTGCTCATTACTGGTATCCATGGATCTCCATGCACTTACTTTGTACTGCTGTGAGGAAAATGTCTTTTTTTGTCACTACTAGCCATGCAGAATAGATACAGAAAGGCAGGGAATGTTGACTTCAGTCTGTGGATCTACATAAGTCTTATTCAGAATCTCATTCCAGATTCTGGTGATTGATGGAGAGAGCAACAGAGTAGAAATGGCACAGATTTAATACTCCCCTCTCCACCCCATTATCTATTTGAACTTGCAGCCCTGGTAGAAAAACAAATTCTCTAATTAAAAGTAGAACATGAATCCTCTTCTCATCTGATTCTGCATGTTGATGTGATACCCTGTCATTTTCTTCTAGTGCAGGAGTGGGTAAAGTCTGGCCTGGGGGCTGGATCAGGCCTAATGCAGACTCCATTTCCCAGCATCCCCTGCCTGCCTTGCTGTGGCTGGTTTCCATGGAGAGCAGCCCCAGCAGAGCTGGGCAGGGAGCTGCTATGGGGCTGGGATCTTCCATGGGTGACAATGTGGTCCGGAGCCAGAGCAGAGCTGTGAGCTGCTATTTGCACACCCTGGGCAAGGGCATTCAGCCAGCAGATTGTGGCTCTGGGCCAGCTCCATACCATGCTGTCACCCCTGCAAGATCCTGGCCCCAGCCCCAGGGCAGCTCCCCACCCAGCAGTGTGCCCTGCCAGCACTGCTGGGGCTGGTCTCCATGGAGACCCTGGCCCCGAGCTGTGGCAGCTCTGCTGCTGCTGTGGCCTCCACGGTAACTGGCTGCAGCAATTGCAAGCAGGGGCTGCTGGGAAATGGATCCTGGCCCTGGTCTGGATCTGCCATTTTACCTACCCCTGCTCTAGTCCCTGGCTAGAAACCTTCTCTCATTCTCAGAAAGCAATAGAAAATCCATTCCACATGCTGCCCCAGTTTGTTGGGGGGTTTATTTCTTCTTTTTGTACCTCTTCGTGTGAGCTGTGCCAGATCAGTAAGCTGACTGCACTTACACAAATATAAAGATGACCCTGATTATAATACAACCCCCAATAAATAGATTCTATATATGGACAATATATTAATTTGTTATAATCTTCTAGATCTAGAATCTAATTATTGGAGGTTTGTTTTGAATTTGTCTCCTTCCCACTGCTACAGCTGGGAAAATAAGTTAGATAGCCTTCTGAAGCTCCCAGCTTCTCTGACCCCCCCGCCCGCAAGTTTGAAAACACTAACCTTGAAATAAAACATGTGTAGTAAGCTGCATATAGTACCCATAGATTTAATTCATCCAGAACTGATGCATTTTACTTTTTTTAAACTGCTGCAACTTTTAGCTCAGGTACTCTATAAACACTCTTTTAAGTAGCACTTTGGCACACCTGTTTATGTAGAACACAAACTGCATGGTATTAGTCCAAAGCTAAAAGGCTCATGTTTTACCATATGGCTCACTGGGCTGGGCCCTAGCAGTCAGCAGCATTTCAAACCATGGTGGCCCCACAGCTCAGTCCTTCTCAGTATGTGTGTACTCTAGATACATGCTGCCCCCACCCCACATGCACATAAAGGATCCATGTGCTAATTAGCACCCCCTTCCCCACTCATGATGAACCAAGTGTTCTTGTCATGAGTCCTGGGATGCTCCAAATATTTATATGCAGATAAGGTGCAGGGCACCTTGGTCTGGCTTTACCTCATGGAGGGTGGGGCCATATTAATCATATGCAACAGTCTGAAAGACTGCAGGGACAGGGATTCTGGGTGAACCATTTGATGTTTGCCAGACATCAGGCTAGAAGAGAAACTGGCATCATTGGAAATAGGAAAGAAAGGTGCAGCTCAGCTGTGGAAAAGAAAAAAAAGTTGAAATGTAGTTGGTGTAGTAGCTCACCATGACTGGAAAAAGAGTTGGCACTGATGGGGACTACACTCAATGGGCACTGCCATACCTTTTATTCAAACAATAGTTAATCTATTCTTATGATAGGTTCTTATCAGAATATTCAATGTAGTATTTTTGGCACTAAGGGGAAAGTGTCAGGGCTGGCTCTGTCCTTTCCATGACATGGCCCATAATGAACAACCATACTGATAGGAACCTATGTTTTATAGTCTTGCTCAGTGCTGGCTGTATTTAGTCATCTTCATAGCAGTTTCCTTTTCCAAGTACATGCTGTTTTCGTCAGCAGTTTAATGATGGATAATACTTTTAAAGAGGTTTCCTTTTATATCAGTGTAAGGCAACCTTGTCTTGTATTCAAGTAAATACAGTAGATGGCTGCTTCTGCAAGTTTCATATATAACCACAGAGGAAAAATCTTTGTTAAGCCTTCTAATTTCAAGTAATCTTGGGGTTTAGTACATAAAGTTTTAAATTTCTTGTTGCTTATATTCAAAACCTGTCCACTTACCTCAGTTAATTTGGAGGAAGAAGTACTGCAGGACTAGTTTAATATGTAATTAAGCATATTGAATATGTAAATGAAAGTGCAATAAACTAATAAAACTTTTTTTTTTTTTAAAGAAAACTGGACTGAGAATTCAGTGCAATTTTTGCTTAAAGACTACTTGGATGGGAAGGCCCTGGAAGGTGAAGGATTTCCAAATTCACATCAGAACCTCAGAATGTGTAATGGCTAAAAATTCCCTCAGTCATAATAATATTTTGCACTACCTAAGCGCTAAACATTTAAAGACTAACATTACCGATACTTGAATAATCTATTGCTCCTAGGTTACTTGTAAAATAAAGAGTTATCCCACCCATCCTTAAACTACAGGAATGTTAACTTAATTATTTTGGAATGTATTTCTGGATGGGCATTCTTGCTTATGACAGTTCACAATGAAGATATTTGGAATGGAAAATATGTTAAACTGTCACTAACATGAAAACAGTTTTGTAATTTTAGTACCTTTTGACTATTTTTACAGGGTTACATACCTTCAGACAGAAGCAGTGACAGGGGGAGATGCAAGTCCAATCTGTACATTTATAGCCAGGCAGAGATGATGTAGCTCTGAAGGACGCAAATGGTCAGTTTTGCTGCTAAACAGACATGCAGTAGATGTCCTTGTAAATCAGTCATAGATGGAATCAGATGTTTGACTCCTGTGTGTAACCCTGGCATTCACTACAGTTATACGAGTACCATCTCCCCAAACTACTGTAGTCTTAGGAGCCTAGCAGCTCACATTAGAGGTAACGGTAACATGGGGATTGTTGAAAGTTAGGATGGTGTAGTGTGAGCTGCAAAGGAGATCACCCCCACCCCCATATTTTTTTCCTCTCCTGTTTCCTTAGTGATAGCGGCTTCCTTTTTAATTAAGACGCATAGTTTATACACAAGGTACTTCAAAGTAATCTATGAAAACTAGCAACACAGTGTATGTAAGATTTTAAAGCATCATCTAGTCTAAGATGTCTGTCATCTTTTGATGCATTTAATTTAAAGGATGAATGACAAAATCTAGCTGGACATGGACAAATGAACAATTCTACTCTAGGGTAAAAAAGGGTAGGACTGTATTGCTGCTCAGCAACTCTGTGGTAGTTGCCTGTGTACATGCACCTACACCATAGCATCTGGAACTTCCCCCTTCTCATTGAGTTGTAAAGCTACTTTGCTTTTGCTTCTGCTCACCACAAACTTCAAACATACACGCTGCAATAACCATGGAGTAGCTAATGTAAAATTTGACTCCTTTTAACCTGGAATGAATTGTTTGTATGGCCATCCCCTATATGGCTTTCCTTCCTTCCCCCACCAAATTCTCTTGGAAAGAAAATAGTGGTTCTTATACTTAATTTTTATTCTTCTACCTCCTGCAAATACTTTCAGAGGATTTTTTTATCCTAATGTTAATTTTTATTTTCCTTTTATTGGTACATATTTATTCCCTCAGTTTATACTAGTAGGTGCACTATCAGGTGCACACACAAACCTTATGAAGTTTGCTTAGTCAAACCATGTTGGGTTTAAATAAACATGTATCCAAGTGGCATTGTCTATATGTGTGGAGAAGAAAAACAAATATAGATAAAATGCTTCTCAGTTGGTGTAGGGGAAAAAAATGTTATGCCATAACCTGGATCCAAGATTAAAAAAAAAAAAGACTTGCATTGTTTATAGTTTAATTTTTTAGCCAGAGGGCTACAATACAAGTAAGCATTAAGAAATGCTTTCTACCCTGTCTGAAAGGCTCTTTTTTTGTAGTTTGGAAAGCACTTTTCATACATGTTCTACTGTACAAAACAGATGTAATTATAGGATTTAAATGGTTCTGCCTCCTTTAACAGAACATGATTTTAATCTTAGCTTTAGTTGAATGCTTTTTTAAAGATATATTTCTCCCTCTTCTGATCTTTGTTGTAAAGCTGAATAACAAAATAAAAAGAACAACACGAGAATGTTTTTGAAGCATGCTATAACAGTGAGATGGTTTGGTGCAACAAAAAACAAGTTTGCTATGATGGGAGATGTTGAAAGCTCAAGCTTGAATAAAGCTAACATTCAGGAAAAAGTTCTGCAATAGTTAGGAGTCTAGGCCTGTCTGAAGTTGTTAGGACACATGACTATATCACAGATGTAGTAAAAAAGGAGCATGAAAAAATTACTGAGGTAAAGGCTGGTTATTCCATGAATCATTTTTCAAAACTGTAGCTGCATCTAGTTGCAAGCCTTCTCCTACCTCTTACCATCTGCTTTCTAGCCCCTTGTATGTAATGCTAAGGCGCATGTCCTGCAGGGTAGTTAAGTGCTTAGGTAACCTACTCAAGTCAGGCTCTGAGCCTAAATAAGTAAGAGTTATAAAGTGAATTCAGCATACAACTACTATGTAGCAAATCTAGAACAAGGAAAAACGCAGTTCTTCCCGACTGTTTTGCTATTGTGCTTTGAAGCACTAACCAGTATGTTCCATAGTACTTTGTGTGAAGAAAAAGGAGCTCAGTAACTTTCATACAAAAGAACTAAGACCACTTTTAGGGCTGCTGCTTCCTTGGAAGCAGTACTTCCAAAATTTCCTAATGAGGGTTGTGGGGCCACAGCTGTAGGCTACCATGGTCCTCTCCTAGGATTTAACTGATGGGGAGAAGTATTTGAGATTCAACCCCTGCTTTCTTTTCCCTCCTTCCCCATCAAGTATCACAAGGAAAATAATAAAAAAAAAATTTCTAGCCTCTTCACAGCATAACTGCAGTTTTTTTTGGCATAGAGTTCTGTAACAAGTTTCCTCTCTCACTTTGGGTGGCTGAACCGAGTGTGCTATTCCAGCTGGGGTTAGCCACCTAAGCATTTGGGCATTAATAGAATTCCCTCTAAGTCATGGACCAGACTCATGGGGAACAGTCATCAATCCACTTACTTTGCATAAAATACAATTCCATGCAATATCCTGAAGAGCCACAGGACCAAGACTGCTGTTTCTGGCAGGTAGCAATAGGATGGAACTACTGCATGTCATAAGCAGTATTTTTTTAAAATAGCAGACATCAAAGCTAGAAACTAAAAGCCTTTAATGAATCAAGTAAAGTGTAAACATTAAAAGGAGGATATGTTTTTGTTTAATATAGATT